ATCCCCAGTGCCACCCCAGTGCCATCCCCAGTGCCACCCCGAGGGATGTGACCCAGTGCCATCCCAGTGCCACCCCAGTGCCATCACTCACCAGCTCGATGCCCTGGGGGAAGGGATTGTCCTCCCAGTCCTTCTCCGGGAAGCGCTGCAGGATCTGGCCCTGTCCATCCCCGCTCCCTGCGGAGAGAAACGGGATTAGAGGGACACCGGGAATGCCGGGACACCGGGAATGCCAGGCTGGGGACAGAACCGGGAATGTCAGGATACCGGGAATGCCAGGCTGGGGACAGCAATGGGAATGCCAGGACACTGGGAATGCCAGGCTGGGGACAGCAACGGGAATGCCAAGACACCGGGAATGCCAGGACACTGAGAGTGCTGGGACACTGGGAATGCTGGAACACCGGGAATGCCAGGCTGGGGACAGCAATGGGAATGTCAGGATACCAGGAATACTGGGCACCAGGAACACCGGGATACTGGGAACACTGGGACACCGGGAACGCCGGGACACTGGGAATGCCAGGACACCAGGAATGCCAGGACACTGGGAATGCTGGGAACACCGGGAATGCCAGGCTGGGGACAGCAACGGGAACACCGGGACACTGGGAATGCCGGGACACCAGGAACATTGGGACACTGGGAACGCCGGGACACCGGGAATGCTGGGACACCAGGAACACCGGGAACACAAGGACACTGGGAATGTCAGGACACCGGGAATGCCAAGACACTGGAAATGCTGGGACACTGAGAATGCCAGGACACTGGGAGTGCCAGGATACCGGGAACACCAGGACACTGGGACATGGGAGTGCTGGGAATGCCGGAACACCAGGAATGCCACGACACCGGGAATGCCAGACTGGGGACAGCAACGGGAATGCCAGGATACCGGGAACGCCAGGACACTGGGAACGCCAGGCTGGGGACAGCACTGGGAACACCAGGAATGCAAGGACAACAGGAATGCTGGGCTGGGGGCAGAACCGGGAACACCAGGACACTGGGAATGCCGGAACACCGGGAATACAAGGCTGGAGGCAGCACATGTTTCCCACACTGCCCTCGCCCCTCACAGGTCCGGTCGGGAATCCCAAATCCCGAGGATTCCAGCCCAGCCCGATGGTCCAGCCCCGTGATGGGGAGGGGGCGATTCTCCAGCCCCTCCCGGAGCTGCTATGGGGTGATCCCAATTCCTGGAGCTGCTATGGGGTGATCCCAATTCCCGGAGCTGTTATGGGGGGATCCCAATTCCAGGCCCCTCCTGGAGCTGTTATGGGGTGATCCCAATTCCCGGAGCTGCTATGGGGTGATCCCAATTCCAGGACCCTCCTGGAGCTGCTATGGGGTGATCCCAATTCCAGGGCCCACCCAGAGCTGCTATGGGGTGATCCCAATTCCCGGAGCTGTTATGGGGTGATCCCAATTCCTGGAGCTGCTATGGGGTGATCCCAATTCCCGGAGCTGCTATGGGGTGATCCCAATTCCCAGAGCTGCTATGGGGTGATCACAATTCCCAGAGCTGTTATGGGGTGATCCCAATTCCCAGAGCTGCTATGGGGTGATCCCAATTCCTGGAGCTGCTATGGGGTGATCCCAATTCCCAGAGCTGCTATGGGGTGATCACAATTCCCAGAGCTGTTATGGGGTGATCCCAATTCCTGGAGCTGCTATGGGGTGATCCCAATTCCAGGGCCCTCCTGTAGCTGCTATGGGATGATCCCAATTCCCAGAGCTGCTATGGGGTGATCCCAATTCCCAGAGCTGCTATGGGGTGATCCCAATTCCA